AAGCCTTCACTAGCAGGCAGCACAAGAACACTCCTGCACCTACAAGCCTTGCAGGCAGAGCCGCATGCTTGCAGCTCAACATCAAACATGTAACATGTCCCTAACATGTCCCGTGTTGTTCAGGCGCTTACACAAGTACAGACACGCGCAAGACCAAGCATCAGCTACTCACATACTTCCCACTTAGATACACGCACGCGGCATGCCAATTTTCACTGTTGGTAGTTTGCTTTCTTCCGGTGTTTTTCGGATCTGACTGCATCAACGGTTCTTAAGGGATTGCATTTCGTAAGAGTAATCTTAAAGAACATCAGGAACTCCTGCCCTGACACAACATGCCCTGTTTTTGCTCAGGACGGCTCGTTGGGCACGGCGCTGGATGAAGCCACCGCCGCAGCCGACCAGGCGAGGGCGGGCCTGCCTGAACAGTCTGCGACTGCCACTTAGCTTCACGCTAACCTTTAATGCGTAGAACGGTGTGTGCAATATAGGGTGTGTGTGTGTGTGTATTATATATATATATGTATGTATGTATATATATATATGTATATATATGTACCGGTGTATGTACATGTGTATGTATGTATGCATGCAGGTATGGACGTATGTATGTATTTATGTATTCATGTATGTATGGAGGTATGCATGTGTGTATATATACACATACTCCAGACTCAACATGTATGTCTGTATGTACGCATGTATGCATATATGTGTACATTTGTTCAAACACATGTATACAGAATGTAATATAAGACAAGTGAGTGAGCGAGTGAGCGAGTAAGTACGCAAGTAGTGCGTGAGAAGCGTCACCCGTTACGGACGGGGCCATGCATAAGGCTCCATCCGTCCCGGCATCTCAGGGGCTCCATAACCGTCATTGCTCCTCCGCTTGCAGGGCGCCCCGGACTCCGTAAAACGTCATTGCCCGGAAGTGAGATGAGTGGTTACAGCTAAGCTTGCTCATGTAGGAGGGCCTGCGCTGCATAACCAGGCATATCTTGTGGAGCAGCCACCCTAGAGTCCTAGAGTAGGCCCCCGAACCAGCAGCCACACAACCGGGGCACTGCAGCAGCCCAGTGAGCAGCGGCCCTCAGCGGTTGGTAAGCTCGGTTGGCAGCTTTCGCCAGTGCTGCCGTAGCCGCGACATGAGCAGCATCAGCTGCATCGGGCACAGCAGATTGCTGTGCGGCGCAATGTTGTCAGCCTGCCCACGATGCCGGCGGCAAATGTCTAGGTGCCTGCTCCCAGGTGTGTGTCACTGTGTGGTACACATGCGCGTAGTGGGCCGGCGGGCTGTTGCTGACCGTGTGTCGTGGGCTGGACATGCCGCCAGACTTCACGGCTACCGAAGCCGGGCGCTTGCTCGCAAGCGGTAACGCAGGCACTTCGTCAGTGTACCTTTCCGCATCCGGCATTGGGGCACCTTCGAGCCAGCAACGCACGCTATAGAAGGTGGGCCTCCCCTCCCACTGGCCCACCGTGCCGGATAGAGGGCTTTGCGAAAGAGGTTGATCCTTTTTGCCAGGATGAGGGAATTTTTGCACCCTGCTGACCTCTTTTGAGGGCCTTCAATGGCGAGGACGAGGATGAGGTGTAGACGTGCCTTTAAAAGGGCACATTGAGCCCCTAGCCGTGCTTTGCAACACAGCTGTCCTGGAAGGACAACCTTGCGGATAGCCCTTGGCATCACGAGAAGGGTGAAAACTTTTACTCCTCTTGGACCTTCAAGTAACAGCAGATGTGTTCCCTCAAGACAGACATGCGCCCCGACCAGCATGCTTTGCCCTCTTGGGCTCTGCCCAAGAAGCTTTGCTTCGCTGCAGAGGGTTTGCCTTTTCGGCGCCACCTTCTGTCACCACTGTCGGCTGCCTTTCTGGTCGACGAGCCTACAAGCTTGACCTTGCGCGATGGCAAAGGTGCTGCTATACATTATACATATACATCGTGAGCATGTACACACATCGCTCGCATACACCTACCTACACACATGACCTACACATGTACACAAACGAGCAACACAGACAGCTCAAGACAAAGAAAAGGTATGCACATGTGTGGTGAGAGAGAGAGAGAGAGCGCGAACAAAAAACGGTGTTGGTTATATCTACATGCATGTGTATACTGAATGGTTTCTGAACTTGTGTGAAAGTATGTTCACACAGACTCATATGTTCACATGTGTGGTCCTTTGTGGTCAAAAGGTGGATAGGGAGATATAGGTAGTCGGATAGAAATGTCTCGACATGACACGACATGACATAGCTACACGGAAAAACTAGACAGACAGATAGATAAGTATTTAATGGTCGAGAAACAGGCAGGTAGAACGATGGGTAGGCAGATATATAGGTGGATAGATAGATAGATAAATGGGTAGATAGTTAATCATGTTTGGAATACTTTGCATGCATGCATGCATTTATCTATCGCTCTGTCTATCTGTCTGTCTATCCATCTACCTGTCTACCTGTCTATCTGTCTATCTATCTGTCTATCCGTCTGTCTGTCTATCTATCTATCCAGCTATCTATTTATCTATCTATTAATCTATTTGTCTGTTTATCTACATATCTATCTATGTATCTATCTATGCACGCATGTATCTGTGCCTGGTTGTGCGCATGTGTATGTGTGTATATATGTCTATGCATAAGTGTCGATGGACAAATACGATTGTGTAATCTACGTTTGTACATGGATATAAGTGTCAAGTTTGTGTAAGATACGTTTGAGCAAGACCGGAAAAGGGTAACCCTAGTGTTATGTAGATGACAAGATGACTGCTTCCGAGTTCACGGCCCTGTCAGATCTTCAGAGCAGCAACCGTGGATGTTGGCTTCCGACAGCTCGGCAAGATGCAAGAGTTCTTAATGGAGATGGCATCCGTCATTGCGGAGACCAGGCCGCTTCTTCTGGTAATGTTCAGATGTAGCTTGACGGTGCGATCAAGTGATGCTGGCACACACAGGAGGCTGGCAGCAGCCAAAGCAGACGCCACAGCCTGAGGAGTTCGGACCATGCACGCCCGGAAATCCGGCAGCAGGTGTGTGCTCGGTTGGTTGGCATCCATACTCCGACCATGGAGAGTGCGAGCTTTTAATTTACGGGCAAGATAGCAGTTTGCTTTGGGATCTTTAACATCCCGAAGTTCCTGTGCCGAATCTTGAGATGCGGCCTGTCCTTTTTGGGTTGAGATGAAGACTCCTATATAGGTCTTGGGCTCAACCCTTGCAGCTTGTTGTGTGAAGTTATGCATCCTGGAGCTGCTGGTCGGCAGCCAAGATCTTGAGCAACGCTTTCATAGGACTTTCCTCAGATCTTGACGTCGCCTGTGCGGTGTCGCAGTTAGCCGGTAGACCTTTGTACAGCAACTATGAGGCTCTGCAGCTTAGCCAAAAGGAATTAGAGTGAGTATTGAAGACGCTCCCGTGCTAAACCGTGGAGGCTTCATTGGCCTCATTCGGCGGGCTGCCCGGGCGGAGTGTGAGTGCAAAGCATCCTTATGGTGCTTTGAAACGGTCTCTGTCAAGACAGTACGGCCTCACCTTGTGAGATAAGGCCTCTAGTAGATGCTGGACTTCTCCCAGCCGAGACTGGCTTGGTGGTGAGACTGCCTTTTTTGTGTGCTCACCAATCCGCGACAGCACACGGCACACAATGTGATTCCTAATCAGGTACATGCTGTGAGCGGATACTCCGGCGGTGGAAAGGCTGTGTCGCCAGTGGGACAGACGGCATGCATGTACATCTTCGTGTATAATATGTTTGCGCACGCTTACATACGTGGCTACATGCCTACAGCCTACATGCATACATACGCACATACAGTAACAGTAGTACATCGGCCTTTGCACAATGCGAAGCAGGGAGTGCAGTAATGCATGGGTGGAGAAGTAAGCCGCGATGTGCTTCGGGTGTTGGCCGCATATTCTGCTTGCAGTGGCAGCTGACATTCGTGCTTTTCGAAACTGCTCAGGGCCTGATCAAAACCTACGAAGAGGAAGATCATGAGCCCTGGGGAGCGTGCCCACATGGATTGCCTAGCTTTGACACAAGATGTTGGGAAGTCTGAAGGTACGGCTTCGCTTTGAATCACAAGCATCTACCCGAGATGGCAAAGTGGACAGGCTTGCAGGAGGCCGGTCTCTTTTAGGACTGGACTTCCGGAACCACCGCAGAGAGCCTTTTGACGCTCTGCAACTTCGGCATTGACATTCTGCAAGACCGGAGGAACCCATCTTCTGCCCTGCTGTTGGGGACTTCAAACAAGGGATGGTAGTGCACCTTCCCAAGCCTAACATCTTGACATGACAATCGCATTCAGCACATGCGAACTGTCCGCTCTGCTCTGTTCCTGAGGTCCGTACCCCTGCGCTTCTCTCAGCTCCGGGCAGGCATGTTCACACACCGGAGGGCGGTTGAGGGAATTGGCATCAGCATCTCAACCGAGCTTTCTGCCATTTTCTGCCAGGAGCTACAGCAGCAGACGTTCATGCAGCCATGGCTGCACACTACGACGGTAAGCAGTTCGTGTCAGCACCCGAGGTGTATGCCTCCGATGATTCGTCTTAAACTTCGATCTGAGACAAGGTCTGTGAAACCGCTGAATGACAAGGAGGGCATTCCCGGCCTGTACGTGGCCAGCAAGAACTGCAGCAAATCTTCGACTACACAATGCTCCGCGCGCCGCAGTTTTGGCAGAGTATTTTCGAGGCATGATGAAGCATGATTCAGATAGCCACTAGCCGAATGTGGCCAAATCGCAGGTTGCACCCGAAGATCTTGTGACTCTCACGTCATGTCCACGACTTGCAGCGACATCTGCAATCCCAAGCGAAATTTGCAGAAACGGAGTGACGGTTCCGAGTTCACAGGTAGAGAAATTCGTTTGCATGATGATCTGCTGCCCGCGGACATTCGCTCCGACGGAGACAAAGCCAGTGCCTGCGAGAGGGGCAGCACCTGCGCGATGGCGCGCCGCAGCATCTTGCGTGGCCATGAAGACCTGTCAGATGGCCCCTTGGTGTCAGATGTGCGCTCAGCTGGGCTTGAAGTTTCTCCGTGTGTTGTGCTGAAGGCGCTCGGTGCCTCTGCATTGCTTTTTCCGCGCCGCCTAGTGCGGCGCAGAGCAGTGGTTCGAGGCTCAGGATACTAAGAAAGGCACGAAGGTCAGACCGCTGGAACACTTGGCTTCCTTGATTTTTCGAGCCAAGGTGGAGGGCGACGTCCATACAGTGGCTGTGAAGAAGTGGCTGGATTCCATGATCATCGGCATGAGCTTCTGCCCATGGGCCGGACCTGCCAGCGAGGCCTCTACCACACACTTCAGTCTACACTGATCTGGACACAGAACTGACAAGACTAGACTCCTGCCTAGGCAGATGGAATTCGCATCGCCACGAGCATGGCAAACTCACCCGCGGCAGCATTAGAAGATCTGAAAGCAGAAGCGGCAAGGCTGCAAGGACTGGCAGGTTCTGGGATCGTTCTTGGGGTGGTGTCTCAGCGTGTACTCGTTACAGCTCATAAAGTTCTTGTGAAGTTGGAACCTCAGATTTATTTCTTTCTGGGAGCTTCTTCAGCACGTGCTGCAGGAGCTCGGGATTCAACGGTGACCACCCTTCTTGTATGTCCTTGCGTGGAGCCTTGGGAAGACTTCACCAACTTCAACGACTTCCGAGAGACCGAACTGCAGTGACCTGGCTTGTCCGGAATTTGGGGCCGCAGGCAAGTAACGGCCGAGCTGGATGCACCGGTTTTGATGTGCGGCGCATTCAGGAACGGGGAGGCCTTGGTGGAGGAATTCGGTTGCAAGGTGGTATGCTTCCACCCCCACTCGCGGGCTCCTTGTCAAAGGTCTATTGAAGTTGGTGGCAGTGATGCATCCGCGGCTGATGCCGCAGCTTTAACCTAGGCGTCTGACAGCTATGGCCTTCAAGAGGGTGATGACATCGTCATTCGCACAGGGGATGGTCTGGGCCCTGTGCTCATGTCCGCATATGCTGAGCTGCAACATGCTGCAAATGCAACAGCAGGTGAGCAGCTCTGCGGAACGGTTCTGAGCATCATGCCCGAGGGAGAGGACGGTGCCAGCAACTTGAAGGTTCAGTGCCCAGGCTTGAAGTTCGGGGCAGTGTTTGTTCCCGCGCAGCCGCAGTGTCGATGAAGCGTTAGCCCACACAGTCTTTGCTCGAGGTTCTACGGCAAAGTTGATGAAGGCAGCATGATTCGCAACTTTAGGTAACGTGCAGCACACTACCTGTTTTGTGCTGGCTCCAGGTGATGCGGAAAACGGCGAGTTCGGCATGCAGCCCTTCTCGGATGCTGCAGATCGCGTTGAGACCGTTCCAGAACAAAGTGCGCCTCGTCCAGCAAAGCTCATCACATCTAATATGATGACTGCACGGAGCAGGAACGAGCAGGAGCAGCACTGCAATTTGTGAGGAGACCAAGAAGGTTTGGTGTTGGCTTGACAAGCTTGCAGAATTCTGCACTCGCCTTGGTTTGACACACAGCTGTTTCCGTCGCCGCCTTGTTGAAAACGGAGTCTCTAACAGCTCCCCGCATCTGCTTGAACAACTCCGCTAGCATTCCCCCTACGACATTTACTCTTGGAGCGAGTTCGTTTGAAGTCGAACTGCTTTTATTATGGGTGCAACTCGGCGCGGGTCGCCGCCATGGCTTGGCTGAGCTGATCGGTCGAGCTGCCCCATGAAGACGGAAAACCATGATGATCTTCCTTGTTCTTCCGTCTTGTCAACACGCCATCTTCACGAGTTTTGGAGCTGGCTTGGGGTCGTCATTAAGAGAGTTTCTTGGCACTGAGGTACAGGTCCACCGGTGTGTAGGAGCTTCAGTTGAGGGTTTCAACTCACGCATGCCGGAACATGCGTGTGCAGCGCGCAGGAATCGCACGCATGATCTGGGATACCTTGTCTCCCACACATCGGGAGTTCATGGCAGAGCGCCGGATCATTAATGCTGAAGCAGACACATGCCTCGACAGATTCAGCAGTGCATTCTAGAGCGCGTATCGTGAGCAGCAAGGTGCTTCAGCTGATTGGACGCGAAGCCCTACAGGACGAGGTGTGGGCCCTCACGCACCAGTAGCGAGTGTGTGCATCCACCTAGCAAATGTCTTCAGGATGCTTGCCGAAGCATTTTGGGCCGTGCACCTCGAATTGTTCTGCATCTTCTCCGTGCTGCAGATCTGGAGGCGTGCGAAAACCCGAAAATGCACTAGGAGAGAAATTCCAGACTGATCTCAATAGTGTCAGTTATCGTCACAAGGGGGTCTCTGAGCTTCTGCAATCAGGCGGTCGACAACCAGAAGGCAGCAGCTTTGCATCTAAGAGACCCATGTTGGTAGCAGAGTAAGGACTTAAGACAGACACTTACGAAGCAGCAGTGGTGTGGCGTACATCATCGTTGTCGCCAGTGCGACTTGCCCGTTCAGGCCTTTCAAACTCTGGAGCGAAATGAAGAGGCCTTCGTTACCGTTTTTTGTTACCTTGTTCACCTCGGTTGCCTGCACAGGTTGTTGAAGCAATGGGTGAGGAAGAATTCGATCGGCGGGTGCAGGAGTGCGGTTAGAATGAAAAAGGTGTGATTGCCTCAGTGTGGCCTACCAGACTGCCTCAGGCCTCGATTCAAAACAGATGTAATCGAGGTCTCGCAGCAGATGTTCACCCAAAACTGGGTAACGACATGATGGTGGTTGATGCTGCACCTTTGCCCCCTTTTGCAGCAGTCTCCCTCAGCTTCGGCATGCCAGCTCTGGAACGCGGTGCGTTTTTGCGGCCCGATGCGGTGAACGACACCAACAAGCCTGGCACCAGGGGTTTCTTTCAAGTTAGCTGTGGCAGTAAAATGCACAGGTATGCTGCACACATGCAAGTATCGTTGGTAGCTGTTGGTCGTGTCCGTCTTGCTACCCTGGCGTCAGGGGGTTGTGCAGGGTGATGCTCAGGCTGGAGCTTTTCTGCTTTGCCAACGAGGACCTGGTACCGGGCATTGCGCTTCTTCAGGGCACTCGAGCTGAAGCATTGAAGCGAGAGGACAAGAAGACCCTCTGGCTTGCCGCTCGTTTAGACAACCTGGGCAAGGCGAGTCAGAGTGGTGCGGACTACTGTTCTTACTTGGGCCATGTTACTCATCACAGCTTCATTGGATTCGCTCTAAAAGCCACGCGAGCCTTCAGCCACAACCAGAGTGCAAAAGTGGTTGGGAAGTTCACTCGTCGTTTCGCTGGACATGCCTTTGAGATTGTGGTTCACTCTCAGGGCGCCAGCGGTGCGTGCGTGCAGAATTTGAACTTGGCGCTTGGTTTCCCGGAGGCATGTCGAGAAATGCTGTGATTCGTGCATGTGGTGTTGTTCCTGGCCCATGCTACCGCTACCCGGTACTTAACGTGGCTCCATAGCGATCCAAACCTGCTCCAATGTTGCGGCAGGAGACAGGTCTGTGAGGTCGAGGTCAAGAATTCGTTGACTGAGCGGGCTTGTAGCAGAGGAAGCTTCGGAATGGCACAGCTGGAGGCAAGTGCCCATAGTTTCGTTTGTTCTAAATATTTTAACTTTTAATCATTATCAGCTGGAAATCATGCCACTTGGGACCATCCTGGAGGCTTTCGGCAGAAAATATATGGCTTTGTGCTGGGACTTGGAATCGAAGCAGCAAGAATTTATTCTAGGGGCTGCGCCCACGGGCAAGAAGCTTGGAGCAAGGCCATCCGCCTCGCGCTGCAGTGCCGGTTGCGGGCGCCCCGAGTGCTCATTGCTCGCCGGCGTCGTCTAACGCGGGCCCCGCAACCGGAACCGGCCATAGCCATAGCCTGGGGAATGGCTGCGAAACGCGTGTGTGTGTGTTTTCGGAAAGGCCCCGCGCGGCCCGGTGGCAAAACCAGGGTCCAATGAAGCAGGGTGGGCAGGGCAGTTTCGGGTCAAGTGGGAATAGGGGACAGGCGCACAGGTCCCAGGTGCGGAGCATCTTTGCGAGTTGGAGGAGGGGAGGGACGGGGGAGAAGGGCGGGCGGGCGGGCGAGCATAAGGAAGGGACAGGGCAGCTTCGGATCAAAAGGGAATAAGGGATAGGAGCAGAGGTCCCAGGCGCGGAACATGTTTGCGTTCCAAACCGGCACAAGAAGAAACATTTCGTAGTCAAGATTTGGGCGCCGACGCCGTGGGCGACAGACCAAAAGCCGAATCCCTAAACCACCCCCAAGACCTAAGCTGATTGTCCATGCGCAAGCCTTGAGCGTGAAGGCGTGGAAGCACGGAAGCCCATAGCACGGGTTCAGAAGGTTCGGAGGCACTTGAGCCACGGGAGTGCTGGGGTCTAAGCCAGAAGTTTGCGATGTTGCGGGTCTCGGAGGTCTGGGTTAAGGGGAGGGGTTCGGGAGCACTTGGGCCATGAGAGTGCGGGGGTTCAAGCCAGAAGCTTGCGGGTTTGGGGGGCTCGGAGGTCTGGGTTAAGAGGAGGTTGGTCTTGCGGTTGGGGTGTAG